GCTGTACTTGTGCTGGCATCCTGTCCTCAGAGTCCCTTGCTTGAAACGATGGACTCAGGAGCTGCCCCCCAGGCTCAGAGTGTTGGTGAAAAGTGGCTTGGAGCAGACCTGGGGGCGTTGTGGAGTGTGGGGGTACACAGAACAGTGTCTTGATGACTTCCTGGTCAGTAGCCCCTCTCTTGAGCCTTCCAGAGAAGTTTAGTTTGGCTTTTACGTTTAGTTTGGCATTGGTTCGTTTTTAAGCAGTGTACCTTCTTAGTGTTCAAAACACATCCAGATTAGAGTAGCATTTTTAAGTTCCCAGACGATCCTTAATAAAGATGAAGCGGGAAGTTCAGTCTTAAATAACATGCTTTATTCTGTCAGGTAAAAGCAACACCTTCCGGTGATTTCCAAGACACCGGTGAACTTTTGATTAAAATCAGCTGCTACGGCAGGAGCTAAGCCACGCCAGTCTCTCTCTCTGCAGTCAGCGTCCCGGGAAGACCGGCCCTGAAGGAAACACGAGCCCTCCGCTGCCCACCCCCCCCACTCCAACAGACCCTTCCGCTGACTGAGCCCACCCTGGGCAGGCTCAGAGAGGGAGCCCGGGGCTGGAGTGGGAGCCGGAACAAGGGGCCTTTCTGCTCCACACAATGTGCCATTGTGGCCTCCTCCGGGGGACAATACAAGAGACCAGCGAGGGGAAGCAGAGAACAAAGAGCCCTTTGTGAGGCCTGTCCCCACCTGAAAAGCAGAACCCAGGGTCACACCTGATGGTGGGGCTGTCCTTCCTCAGTCCATGTCCCTGAGCAGCTCAGGCATCCGGGCACGGGCTCAGAGAAGCTTGGGGTAGCCTGTGCTGTGGGCACTGCGTTCTCCTTACGCTTCCTTCTCAAAGGGTCCTGCCATCCACACTCAGCCTGGCTTCCACCAGACTGTAGGCACAAAGGTGCCAGGGGTGACCTCATGGGCAAGCAACTGGCCGCAAGTCATCACCCACTGGGCTACCTGTCTCTCTGAGTCCCAGGTGCCTTCAGGAGGACACCGCTTTGGGTCCCAGGCTCTGAATGTCTTGTAATATGTTTGTATCTGTGGTAGCACCGTAGACAGGCCGCACTTTACAGCTGGTTCACAACAAAAAGGAAAACTTTCTTAGCCCCCTGTCAGAGCCAACAGACATGTTGCTCCCCTCCAGAGCAGGGAAGGGTTCCAGCAGCTGCTGGCTGGTCTAGATTTGGAGACAGTCCCTGCCCTCATGGGGCTCACACCAGGACAGTTGGTGAGCACACTAAAAAGTCATTAAGCCCAAAACCAAACCCACAGCCACCAAGTAGAATCAGACTCACAGTGACCCTATTGCTGTTGTTAAGTGTTATCAAGTCGGTTCCCACTCATAACGACCCTGCCCCAAAGGGTTTCAGAAGCAGACTGCCACACTGTCCTCCTACGGAGCAGCTGATGGGTTTGAACCACAGACCTTTCAGTTAACATCAGTAAGTTCTATGTTATAATATTGCATGTATTTGAGTCTAAAGATAAGCTACTTAACTAACAGGACGCATATCTGAAATGGACACAGAAAAGGAGATCTTCACTGGAAACTCACTAAGAAAGAACTCAACCTCGATGATTTGCTTCCAGTAACTCCCTAGGGTTCTGGTGCCTACCCTGTCCCCCTACCCGTCCTTCCTCTATGGAGACCCCGCCATCTCTGCTTTGTGAGGAACCCCATCCTGGGATGTGAGACTTCTGGTGTCTGGCCGGGGTTCTGTTCCGGTCAGTAGGTTCTTGCCTCTTGGGGCTCCTAGATGCAGATGCACCCCCTTCTCCTGACCTGGGGTCTACTTTTGTTGTTGTTTTTAAGTATTTATTGTTAATTGAGTGATAGTTTACATGGGAGAACATCAGCTTTACATTCATCCTATCCTATTTCATTTCATCGCAATGATTACAATCCCCTCCAGTCATCATCGAACAACCAAAGGGTACACCCTGAAGCCTTCTCCCCCTCTCCCCAGCTGTCAGCACACAGCTCCTCTCCCTCCCTGAGTTCAGAGTCCCCATCCACTCCATCCCTCCACATCATCGTCTCTGCCTCCATCCCTGGCATCACTGTTTCTCTGGATAGGGTCCCGCACTCCACTCTTCTCCCTTGATGGTCCTAGGGTCCTCCACTCCTGGACTGAAAAATCTACCTCTCCCCTCCTTTTGTTACAAAATGTCTACCTTTGCATTTGCAACACTCACCGTCAGTCCTGATAACAATTATTCACTATTGAACCACAAGAGTCCTATCCCCACCTCCTTTCACCAGCCCCATGCAGACAGGTTGGAAACCACTCAGTGGAGATTCTACCTTCCCCCGCACCCTCTGAAACTAGGCTCCCTCTTGAAAGCTTGTAAGCCAGTCACTTTGTGCCTTTGTAGCCCCACCCTCCCCCATTTTGGGTAGCCAATGTTTAAGTTACCCATCCCTGTCAACCGTGTGTACCAAGGGCGTGGGAATGATCCTCACTGTAAAGATGTGTTCCCTCTTTTAAGGTACTACATCCATAAGTATAGGTCAAGTTCATCAAATTGTAGCAAATTACTCTTTTTTTTTCCTCTTGTTTCTTCCTCTAGTCGAGCTCTGATCATCCAGCCATTGAAGCCAGGTCAAGTGGGTACTATATGCAAGTATGGGTGTACTTGTGCATCTCCCCTCACTTCATATCAGCTGGATGCTTCACTCTCCACTCCAGTCCTCTGTAGCCATGTCCCTGTCCATGGGCTCAGGAGTCCCCAGGTCTCGCCATACTGCTGGCCAACCAGGTCTCAACTTGGGTTGACAGGAGTCTATTGAACGTGGTCGGACTAAGCTCACAACTTCATTACTGTTTTTCCCCCACTTCCCCTTATCAGTAGACCAACGTGGTCACCAGCAAGACCACATGCCTGCTCGTGTATTCCCCTTGAGTCTCAGTCTTGGAGGGGGGTTTGCTTGTCTTGATGCTTCCCCAGAGAACAACTTGTTTGTTCTTGTAGTAGTCAATCAGACCGCCATTATTGTTTTTCATTTTTCCTGCTGGTCTTCCTTTCAAGAAGTATCTTCTGTTCATATAGCTGCTCCAGGCTGGTCTGCTTATCTTTTTGAGTGGAAATTTCCCACCTCAGAAGATCCTGGATGGGGATCAGGATTCCACCTATGATCTTATGCAATGCAAAGGCTCTATAGGAAGCCTCCTTCACTGGGCAAGTTCTAGGTCCAAGTATTCCAATTAGTTATAGGCTGAAGACGACGGACTTACAAGCTTTCTATGGTGATGTTTCTGGCTATTCCTTTCTCTCCCCCCCACCACCCCAAGTGTCTATTTTACAAACAGTAGGCAAGGGAAACCATGATTCAAAAGACAGCCAAGCATCTTAAAATTATTTCCCCCCTTTTCCCCACTCCAACCATGTTTCAATCCCTGTATCCCAGAGCCCTGTTGTTCCAAAGTTGTACATACATCATTATTTACCTCTGTCCCACTTAGCCCATGCAAACCTGCCTAAATGTTCACCCATCTGCCTTGTTCTTCTATTCCCCTCCCCCTTTTTGTGTATTGCCCCCCCCTCTAGCACCCAAACTATCCTGTGTCTATTCCCTACCCTGTTCTCCACTTTCCCCTCCCTCCTTTCACTCCACCCCTACACCCCCGGTAACAAGCAAATATATATATATATATATTTTCCCCCTGTTAGTGTGAGTATTTTTTCTTAAGCTTTTACAAAAGTGGTCCTATGCAGTATTTCTCCTTTTGTGACTGACTAATTTCACTCAGCATAATGTTCTCAAGGTTCATCCATGTTATGCGGTGGTTTACAGCTTCCTTGTTATTCTTCAATGTAGCATGATATTCCATTGTGTATATGGACCACAATTTGTTTATCCATTCTTCAGTTGATGGGCACTTAGGCTGTCTCCATCTGTTTGCTGTTATAAACAGTGCTGCTGTGAACACTGGTGTGCATTTATCTACTTGTGTTATCTTGTGTTTCTTGTGGATAAATACCAAGTAGAGGAATTGTTGGATCATAAGGTATTTCTATTTCCAACCTATTTTTGAGGAAGCACCATATTGTTTTCCAGAGTGGTTGGACCATTCTGCAATCCCACCAGCAACGTAAGAGGGTCTGGGGTCCAGTTTTGAGGGCCAGCAAGTGTGCTGTCATAATGGGGACTTTGCTGGTCTCGTAGGGACACTGGGGATTTGTCATCTAGGGTAGGAAGGTGAGCCACAGGATGTGTGAGTTTCAGAACACAGCCCATGCCTCCTCTTCCTCCACTTGGCAGGAGTAGCTGAGGGAAACTCAGCAGTGAGCAACTTACCCTCCCAGGATGCTGAGCTAGCATCCCAATTGTCCGCCTTCCACGGCTCCATGAGGGTGGGTGACAAGCAGTACCTAGGTCTGGAGGGGTCAGGGGCCCTCTACATGATCACAAGTGGAATGAATGAATGCACGCATACATGCGTGGTGGTGGTGGTTATGTGCCGTGGAGTCAGAGTCGGTTCCGACTCATAGCGACCCTGTACAGGATTTCCGAGGCTATAAATCTTTACGGCGGGAGCAGAAAGCCTCATCTTTCTCCCGCGGAACAGCTGGTAGTTTTGAACTGCTGACCTTGAGGTTCGCAGCCTGATTCATAACTACTACGCTACCAGAGCTCCTTGCATGCATGCGTAGGTGAGTGGAAAAGGTGACTGCCTTCATGCACTGAGATGCCTGGGTCCCGCCTGTCAGACGTACCCAACCCTTGAGATTGTAGCGCCGCGAGCGGCAGGAGGCGGATGGAGGTTGGGAGGGAGGAGGTTTGCGCGCTCCTCACACGTGGACTAAACTGGTGAGAAGAGAAGGCGGGACCGAAAGGGGAGGGAGGAGTAGCTGGGACGTGGGCGTGATGGAGAGCTGGGTGGGCGGGGCCAGAGGGACGGGCGGAACTAGTAAGGGGTGGGCGGGGCCTCCCTGTGCTTCCCCCGAGTGTGTCGTTGGTACGCATGCGTCCTGAGGGTCGGGCAATGGCGGCGCCCACGGAATCGCTGCGGAAACGGAGGCGCGGAGACGCGGACGCGCGGCCTGGGTCTCCTGCCGCGCCGGTGGGTGAGCCCGTGGGCTTCCATGGCCGCCTCCGCGAGGGCACCTTCTGGCTGACCAGGGTCGTGCTCCTGAGAGCCCTAGCTTTCGTTTACTGTGAGTCCGCGGCAACCCCTCCTGGAGCCCCTTCGTGCGTAGGGACAAGCCCTCCCACCCGCTCGCGCGCGTGCCCCCTTCCGTGAGGGAACCCGCTTTGTGTAGCGTAGTGGTTACGAATCGGGCTGCGAGCATAAAGGTCAGCGGTTCGAAACTACCAGCTGCTCCGCGGGAGAAAGATGAGGCTTTCTACTCCCGTAAGGATTTATACCCTCGGAAACCCTGTACAGGGTCGCTATGGGTCGGAACCGACTCAACGGCACATAACAACAACAACAACACCCGGGCATACGTGTACCGCATGCTCAGTCCTGCACACACGTGGGCTCACACCTGGATCTCCGTGTGGGGATCGAGCTCCCCAAAACTTGGCGCAGCGCGGGCGTGGCGGCCCCAGGCCTCCCCCAGGTGAAGAGCGTGAAACGTCCCTGGAGCCAGGCTGACGGCTGTGCAGACTAGTCGGGACCCTGTAAATACAAAAGTGCCCCTGAAAACACAGAAGCAACTCCTCGAAATGGAGAAGCGCAGCTCCGGGTCTAAGTACAAATGTGCCCTTCTGTAAGCAGACATACCTCTTCCCCCGTATGAATAAAACCAGAGTCCCCCTACTCCATAAATACGGACCCCTGTAAGTACAGACACCCCTGCCTGTGTGAGTATAGGAGCCCCTACCCGCCTAGGAATACAGGGAGATGAGGCGGTTTCCACTCTTCTGGGTCCTCTGCGTGTTGACCAGCTCCCTGAGGTCCTCTGTCCAAGATTCAAGTCTCCTGAGGCTGAGTTCAGCATAGCTGCTGTTATAGCTCCTGGAATGTTCTCAGCTAAACTCATCCTGCAGCGCAGAGGTTTGAGGGGACAAGGAGTGGCTCCTCAACACAGAGGCTGGGTTGGAATCTGTATTTGACACCTGGCTGAATGCTGCTCAGGCCCACTGGTGCCAACTGGCTGTGTGAGCAACAGGCAGAGTTGGAGCTTCTAAACCCCTGGACAAGCCAGCTTGGTCTGGTGTCCTGCTCATTCCAACTCACTCCCTCCCCCCCCCCCCCCATACCCACTGCAGCCCTTGGCCAAGCCCTGATGGTGCGCTGGTTAAGAGTTGGGCTGCTAACTGCCAGGTCAGAAATCCAATCCCACCAAGCACTCCACAGGAGAAAGCTGAGGCAGTCTGTTCCTGGAAAGACTGACCATCTCTTCTGCCACATACTGTCCCTGTGAGCCCGAATCCACTGGATGGAACTAGGGTTATTTAGGGACTGGATGAGTATTGGAAAGATCCCTGACTGGAGTAAATAGTATGCACGTAACTACTCATGTTTAACTAAAGGTTGACAGTTCAAAACCACCCAGAGACTTCTTGGAATACGAGCGTGGCAATCTGCTTGCAAAACAGACTTGAAAACTGTACGGAGCTGCTCTGCTCTGTGCGTATGGGGTCGCCAGGATCTGTTCGGCAGGGTTGGCTTTCAACTCGGCTTCTGTCTTCTTTATTTTTCTAAGTTATTATAAAAATCATTCTTGCAAGCTTGACTTTATCTCCCATTGTGTTAAGCAGTCATTCTGTAAGCGTGAGCTGTCACTTAAAAAAGTTGAAGTCAAGATCAACTTAACCTTTGAGAATCGAATAGACCTTTAAAAGGAGCCTGGTTCGAAGTGAAACCCCAGCAGTTTTCCTCAGGGGAAGCACAGCTTGATACAAACGGGCTCCTGGCTGTTGCTGAGCTTAGGCTGCCTTTGATCTCCTCAGGGATTCTCAGTCCAATTCAGAAAGCAGTGGTTTTAAGCCACTGTGTCAAGCAGGCATTTTAAGCTGCAGATTGAAGGATTGGCTCTGATAACAAGCATTTTCTCCCATCTCATGAGTAAGTAGATTTGGGGTAGAATCTTTGTTTGTTTGACTTTCACCCACGTTAAGGAATTGATTTCTGAGTCTCTAACTGATGTTCTTCTCTGGTAAGTGCACTGATCTCCTCCTCAGGAGTTCCCAGGAAGCACCTACCCAGTCTAGAAAGCCTACCCAGTCTCCTCTGGGCGCTCACCTCTTATTCCAAGTCAGAGCCTGTAGGACGGGACTCCATACCCTACTAGGCCGCCTCTGTTGGTGGCTTTGGTTTTGTCTAGAAATGGAGACAGGGGTTTCGTCATTCCCTGGCCCAGCTCTGTTGTAGACCTGCCGGGCCACAGGAGAGCCTAGTCCCAGCAGTAAGAGGTGTGTTCTGTCTGTACCACACTCTGGCCTCTTCCCTTGTGCCCATTGGATGTCTGAAGAGCTTTATGGCATCTGGCCCCCTGACTGACAGCTTTTGCTGGAGGGCTGTGGGGTAAACAGAAGTAGCCTTTCCGAAAGCGCTATTTGGATCAGCCCAGTCTCTGGTGGTCTTGCTCCCCTTCCTTTGCATGGAACTCTAAAGGACGTGGTGACTGGAGTGACAGAGCAGGGCACACCTGCACCATATTGCTGAGACTCTTAGCTGTTCTTTAGGAGAATTTGAGGTAAAAAGCTGAATTTACGCACTACTCAAAACTGTGCCTTGTTCTATGTTGTTTGGTATGGTCATTGGTTCTAAACGTTGGTGGGGAGTTAGCCCTCTGTCCATTGCAGCATTGATGCAGAGCTCTCTCAGATCGACTCACTCCTTGTACAAACTCCTCCTTAGTTTAAAAAACCAACCCAGCTGCCTTGCCCATGAGCTGGCCTGCAGTACTGACCTCTCAGGGGACTGCGTTAGGCCACTGTGCTGTGTCTGTTCAACTGTAGTCCATGAGATCCACGTAACCGTGAAGGGCATTCTTCCTGCTCATTGCTGATTTCACCCTCGGTGACACCACGTATGACCGTATGATGCCCCATCGGGTTTTCCAGGCTGTAATCTTCACAGAGGAGTCCTAGTATGGCGCTGTGGGTTAGTTAATGCGCTGGACTGCAGAGTTAGTTTGAATCACAAAGTCGACAGTTCAAGCTCACCAGCTGCTCCTTGGAAACCCTATGCAGGGTTGCTGTGGGTCTGAACTGACTTGAGGGCACATAACAACAGTCTTCACAAAACGTGCCCTGGTGGTGCATTGTTCAAAGCGCTTGGCTGCCAACCCTAAGTTGACAGTTAGGACCCACCAGCCACTCTACTGGAGAGAGATTGAGGCAGACTGCTTCTGGGGAGATTACAACCTTGGGGACTCTGTGGGGCAGGTCCGCTCTGTCCACGGGCTCACTGTGACTCAGAACCGACTGGACAGCAATCGGTTTCTTCGTAAGCATGGGACCGGTAACCGCAAGGTGAGCACTTCAAACTCACCAGCTGCTCTGAAACTTACACAGGGCCGCTACGAGTCAGAACCAACTGAACGACACACAGCAGATCTCTGTGCAGGTAGCTCACCGAGTCTTTACTCCTGGGGGTGCTCCAACTGTCAGCCTGAGCCCAACTTCAAGACCCTCTTCTGGGGCAGGGCTGGGGAATACCTATGCACACAACCACGTATGCATTTATGTGCTTGTATCGTGGCGTGTACATGTGTGCAGATGTTCAGGCACGAAACATGAGTTCACAATGCTGTCTCCAAGTCTAACCTGAGCCACAGGGCATGTTCCAGTCGCTCCTTGCTTACCTGCCTCTTCGCTTCTACAGAGAGAAATCCACTGTTTGCTATGCTTACACATCTGTCCAGGCACAGCGCACGTGCACACACACATACACACACCATGTTTACACGAAGCACCAGCCGGCTCTCCCACAAACCTCTCAGCTGGGTTCAGTAATTGATTGCAGTGACCACACTCACAGTGACGGGCTCATTGGGGAGGGAGCAGCTTACACTGCGGGTTCAGAAATGCTCAGGACACGCTTCTTCCAGTCAGGGCCGGGCCCCCAATGCTACAGAGCTCTTCTCCGGCTGCTGATCCGTGCCCCCAGGACACACCGCTCTACCAGAAGCCTCAGCCTGAGGCATTCAGCTGTAACTCTGTGAATCAGCAAACCTAACCCCCTCCCACTCAAGTGCCTAGAGGCCCCTCGACTCAGCAAGCAAGCCTCCTGCCCAGAGTCACTCAGCTGTCCTCACCCCGTGGGCTGGGAAGCCCACTGTTCTGCTGAGTGGTCTGCCCCTCCTCCAGGTCACAGCTCTCTCTGCCCCTGGGTCGAGGAGGGTCCCTGCACTGGGATTGCTCCATCCCTGGCACCTCTTTGATGGCAGTATGATCCCCCATCCCACACCTGCTTCTGAGATGGCTCATTTTTATACCCAGCAGAATGGCGAATTGGCCAATCCTAGTTAGCCTTGTTAACAATCACTCACAAGGAAGCCATATAATCCATTAGCACCTCCCCCCACCTTCTCTTACCCAGACCCCTCGAGAAAATATTGGTGGGAGTTAACCAAGACAAGACACGAAATAATTCACTGCACCCCAATCGTTCACCTCGATCACGTGAGGAAAAGCAGAGCAGAGTGTCTACAGTCCTCCCAGGTCGGGTGGGTAGACTGAGGAAGAGCCCAGAGCCCAGAATCAAGCCCGTGCTCTGCCCGTTCCTTCTGCTTTCTCTCCTCCCCCAGCTGCGTCCTTGGGCTGCCTGGGACATGCCCCCTGACCCCACCAGTGCCTCTGTCATGGCTCATACTCCTTTCTCTGTCTTCCGTGTCTCCCAGTTGTGGCGTTCCTGGTGGCCTTCCAGCAGAACAAACAGCTAATCGGAGACCAGGGCCTGCTGCCCAGCCGGCTGTACTTGAAGAGCATCCAGCAGCACTTCAAGGGAAGGATCGGCTGGGAGACCCTGAGCGCTGCACCCACCCTCCTCTGGTTCCTGGACTGGTCAAACATGGATGCCAGCCTGGACTGTCTGGCCGTGGCCGGCCTGGGCATCTCATCCTTTGTCTTGGTAGCCGGCTGTGCCAACATGGTCCTCATGACTGCCCTCTGGGTCCTCTACATGTCGCTGGTTAACGTGGGACAGATCTGGTAAGTGGGGGAAACTGAGGCACCAAGCCCTCCAATACACCATGGAGTGCCGCTGTGCCCACTCCTCAGATGGATACAGACCATCCCTCTAATCAGGCTGTCTGGGGTCTGCTGCAGCCCCGGGGGTTGCAGACAGTGTACATGTTCAACTGCCAAAGCCATCAGTAACAAAAGGCCAGGCAGTGTACTTCCGAAACCAGCCACTGAGAACCCTGTGGGCACAGCTGGGCTCTGGCACACGCGAGGTTGCCCTGGCTTGGAAGGGACTCGGGAGATGGTGGGAAAGCCCTGGGATTCGGAGTTCTGCCGCAAGTCTGTCGGCACAGTGGGTGTACATCAGTCTTCACAAATGGGGCTGCATGCGGATCCCCACCAACCACGGAGCCTACCCAGTCGGGTGAAGGACCACCCATGGGTGTATTCAGCAGGGAATCGGCAGCCTGCTGTTTGGAAAGAAAAGCCTAGCCCAGTCACACCGTTTCTCCGGCCACAAATAGGTATGCTTTATGTGAGACAGCCGCAAACAGTTCATGGGAAAATGTCATGAAAAGACCCTGGAATTTTGCCAGGAACTTGTCGAAGGTCCCTGATATTAAATCCCTGTGCAGGCTGAGCTTCGGAGAGATGTTGGTGTGCCAGTTGTCCTCCTCGAGATGTCCACTGCGCTCGCTATCAGGGTGGCTCTGGTCTCACACATGGAACCTTCCCTCTCTGAGAGAGATGAAGGCATGCTGATGTCGGGCTGGGCCGAGAGGCGTCGTGATGCTGTTCATGCCTTTGGGATGCCTCACACCTGGCCAGCCTGGCAGGGCCCCCAGGAGCTGTGGTCTGGTGGTCTCGGGTACTGATGAGTCAGCTCCAGCTCACAGGGTCCTGCAACATCCTCATGGTCTTTGCCATTCTGAGCCTGTGTTACAGCCGCTCCGTAAGCCCATCTTCTTTTCTGCTGACCTAGACTACCAGCATGATGTCCTTCTCCATGGACTGGTCACTCCTGAGAACATGTCCAAAGGATGAGAGAGGTCCTGCCATCCTCACTATTTAGGAACATTGTGACTGTACCTCTTCCAAGACAGATTTGTCCATTCTTCTGTCAGACCATGCTGTGTTCAATCTTCTGTTGGGATCCACAGGGCTTCCGGTGACTGCTTTTTGGCGGTAGATGGCCAGGCTTTTCTTCCTAATCTGTCTTAGTCTGGACACTCTGCTAAAACCTGTCTACCACGTGTGCCCCTGCTGGTATTTGAAACACTGGTGGTATCGCTTCCGGCATCACAGCAACATGCGCTGGCCACCACGGTGCGTCACACTGCCAGACAGGTGGCTTGTTAGTCTAGCTAGCGCTGTGAGAAATGATTGTACAAGGGTAGTATATTTGATGTGTAAACTTCATATTCTGGTTGGATGAAGTTCAAGATGAAGTTCAAGAAGAAGCTAAGTGTCATTTCTGTGGCATGGTCTAAATCAAAGTGCAGCGTGAGAACCCTCATCTTGACCTCTGGCCTCCACAGCTCTTCCTTCCTGGAGTTGAAACCAGATCCCAGAGTAAAGAATTAACGTGAATCTCTAAAACGTTCTAGAACATGGAGGAACCTGGTGAACCTGATGCTGAAGGAATTCAGTCAGTCATGAAAGGACATATGAGACCACTATTGTACAAAGCTAAGAAAAGGTGTTCACACACAAAGAAACATTCTTTCATGGTTTCCAGGGGTGTGAGGGAACTGGAGGGTGAATCACTAACTAAGGGGCTGTTGGCAAGTGCCGTTGAGTTCGTTCCAACTCAGAGCGACCCAAGTACCAGAGAACGAAACATCACCGGGTCCTGCAGTGGCCTCACAACTGCTCCTAGTTTAAAAAGAAAGTGAAAACTCAAACCAACCCAAAGCAAGTCCCCAGGCGGTGAGTATCTCCCTGAAGTGGTTTGTGTCTCTCAACAAGTGAGGGCTTACGACCAGAGCAGCCAGCCTGGGTCAGTCCTCTGGTGCGACAGTCCAGGAGGCTGCACGCTCCAATTCCGAACACTGCCTGTAGTGGGAAGTCTTCTGACTCTGTCAGCTCTGGAGAAAGGGCCTGTAGGCTCAGCATTCCCTGGAGAGCTCCGTGTCATTAGTTCCCTGGATCTGGGAGCTTCACAATGCAAGGACCCCGGGTCTAAAGGCACATGCCATTCTGCTGGCACGTCATTCTTGGTGGTGGTAGGTCCCTGACTCTCTGCTCTTCTCGCTCCTTTTATATTTCAAAAGATGTGGACTGTAGATACAGCCTAACCCAGTGACGGCACCTGGACTGTAGCTACAACCTATCCCAGTGACGTCACCTGGACTGTAGCTACAACCTAACCCTGTGAGGGGCACCTGGCCTCGTTTGCACCTTAAACACCTGGGATGATGACATCAGATCATGTCACAGGGAGATGATCATGTACAAGATCTCATCATAGGGGGTCACTGACACAAAACTCTGACCAGCTCTTGGCAGACAGCGGCCCTTGAGATACTGCCCAGAAGTGACATGAAGACAGCAAGAACACATGCCCCCGTTCTCTCTGCACTTCCCACTGCCCACAGAGGCTGTGGAGTCCTGAGGTGGTGCTCAGGGTTCATGTGCTGGACTGCAAGGTCTGTTTGCACCACAAGGTCGGTGGTTCAAACTTACCAGGCGCTCCTTAAAAACCCTATACTAGGTCGCTATGGGTCAGAACTGACATGGTGGCAGTTAACAACAACAACAGAGGTTGTGTCACATGATGCTGCAGTCCATGCTCTGTGATGGTGCCATGAGATTGTTGGAAAGATGGTGAGCATGCCCAGAAGGGGGCACAGACACAAAGCCACAAAAATGCACAAAAGCAGAGCTCAGGAAAACTCGGTGTGCCTGTCATTTCCTAAAGCCAGCTCCTACTCACCCCCTGTGACTTCCACACGTCTCTTGTACTGTGACCCTCTTAGGTGGTGCAGTTTGAATCCACCAGCCACTTTACAGGAGAAAAATGAGGCTTTGGGCTCCTGTAAAGATTTCCAGCCTTGGAGACCCTACCCAGGGTTGCTGTGAGTCGGAGTCAGTGGATGGAGCACAACAGGAGTCTGTGAAGAAACAGACAGCTTCATAGTGCTAAGCCACTGTGTCACTCAGCATCTTGAAAGTGCGCAGCCCAGTGGTTCTAACCATAATGTGGGATCGTCACTCTCCAAACAGCCCCCCATCTAGCTGCTGTCACTGCACTGACCCCCACTAACCTGCCTCCTGTCTATGCACCTGCACATCCCGGGGAGTTCAGGTGAATGGGGTCATACCCTGAGTGGCCATCTGAGGCTGGCCCTCTGCATTTAGGACGGGTGGGAAATGTCCGGCCCTGCCACGTCAACCACAGTTCCAGCCATCATCAGTGCCATCGAGTTGATGCTGACCCACAGTGATCCTGTGTAGAGTTTCCAAGGAGCAGCTGGTGGGTTTGAACTGCTGACCTTATGGTTCCAACTGACCTTGCAGTCCAGTGCATTATCCAGCAGCACCACCCCAGGACTCCAACCATCACATTAGGGGGGAGTTAATTCAATGTTTAACCAAATACAGCAGGTTAATTTTTAATAGTTTTGTATGGCCCTTGAATGATACAGATTTTGGCAGAATAAGGTTCCCTGCCCCTGGTTTAGGATGACAGGTGTAGCAGCATCTCCTCGTCAATCCTGGGGCGGAAGATGCCACAGGGGAGGCAGGCGGGGTCTCTGTGTGGCAGGATCCTGGGCAGTCCCCATCCTCATTCAGCTCTGTGATATAGGAATGTTTGTTTCTGTGGTTCGGGCCCTTCAACTGCCCCTGTGCCGGGGGAATTGGGCACTGTGTGAGCCCGTGTGACTGCGGGTGCCCTGTTGTGCTGACCAGATGGACAGTCATCACACAGACCTTGTTCAGACTTAGTCACGTAGTGGGGTGTCTTCCGGCCTTTCAAATCCCAGGGCGTAGCATATTTCTGCAGCATTTGGTTGAAATTATGCTGTAAGAAAATCAGGTATTACGTTTGAAAAACCAAACCTGTTACAGTTCGTGTGTAACGGATCTGCCCCATAGGGTTTGCTCGCTGTCGTCAGTGTGGGAACAGATTGCCAGTCCTTTCTTCCGCCTCACCTCTAACCTTTAGGTCAGTACTACCATTGCTGCTCCTTGCCCTCAAGTCGATTCTGACTCATAACAACCCTGGAACACCCCACTGGGTTTCCAAGGCTGCCATCTTGCCAAGTAATTTATCACATCTCTCCCTCAGAGCAGCTGGTGGGTTTGAACCACTGGCTCTTCAGTTAGTCGATGTGTATTCAACCCACTGCACTACCAGGGTTCCATTTTAGACCCGTCGTGGATGGGCACAAACCATCCCCTCCTTGCCCCAAGACCTAATGTTACTTATATTTGTTTGTTCCCAAGAAGTGCTGAGATTGGCCTGTTCGGGGGTGGGGGGAGGGAGCGTGGACACACGTGAATATGCTCGAATGCCTGTGCTCAGGGGCATCCTGAGCCCTCCCAAAGTCAGGTGTCCCCTCAGAGTCCCTCCCACCAGCGTCCAGCATGGCCATCAGCAGGCACTGTCCCCAGTCACTGGGAGAGTAGGGGTCAGCAGGATGCACTCACGTGTCAGAAGTCCCTGGAGAAATCAAGCCAAATCCTTCTCCTGCTTTTGTCTTTCAGGTACGCTTTTGGTAAGTGAACACCCTGTGGGAAGACTTTAGCATTGTGTGTCAGGGTATGTATCTTTACATATATGTATCATGTATCAAGCATGTACCATTTCATATATGTCCTGGTGTTGGGCGCCGGACTGCTGATCACAAGGTCAGTGCTTCAGACCCACCAGGATGACTGTGAGTCAGAAGCCACTTACAGCATTTAACAGCACCAAAATGTATCTGTTTACAGATTTATCAAATAGTATCTTTCTGGAGTCCTGGTATTATGCTGTAGGATAAGCACTGGATTGCTAACGCTAAGGTTGGTGGTTCAAACCCACCAGCTGCTCCTTAGAAACCCTATACAGGGTCACTATGAGTCAGAACTGAGTCGGCACTTAACAACAACACATGTAACTTACGTATGTATTACATGGTGAGTCTATATCTTTTTATATATTTTGTGTCATAGTATGTATCCTTAATATCAATCTTACTTGTTGAGATATGTATCTTTATATGCACATGCATACATATATATATACATCTGTACATACATACCTATGTTGTTGTTAAGTGTGTAGGGTTTCCAAGGAGCATGCTGGTGGCTTTCAACTGCTGACCTTGCGATTAGAAGTCTAGTGCTGATCCTACAGCATGGTACACGGACGTCACTATGTATCGAGTGTACGTCTGTTATATGTATTATGTGTCGAGTGGGTATCTTTTTGTTTATGTATTTTTGTTTATTTATATATTGATATATTGTACGTTTACATAAGGAGCGCTGGTAGCATAAATGTTTGAGTTGGGCTGCTAACCTCAAGGTCATCAGTTCAAGACTACCAGACGATCCACCGGAGAGAGATGAGGCTTTCAGCTTCTGTAAACATTTACAGCCTCGGAAACCCTGTGCGAGGTCGTTGTGAGTCCGAACCGACTCCTTGACCCCCCTCCATACATTTATATATGGGCTCCCCCCCATCACCTTGGCTGTTGTCTGCTGTATGAGCTGTCACTGAGCCTGCAGCTCTGACTCCCGCTGGCCCCCCTTGCCCATGGTGACGAGCTAATTACAGCCTTTGTGTGGGGTGGGGTGTGACCATTTCCTGCTTAGAGCTAGACCCCTTCTTCCTGGGAAAGAGTCAGTTCTCTCTGGTGGGGTCAGCTCAGTCGTGTGTGATGAGCACACCACATGTGATTGTTCATACTACACACATACCCCTAGGACCCTGCAGGCCCTTCCCTCCTCGCTGGACGCCAGCTACTTGTAAATCTCCACGTGGAGGAGGGATTTGACACAGTAACCCTGGTGGGGTCCATGCAGAGGGACCCCGACTCGGGCTCGGTACGGTAGAGGGAAGGCGTGCTGGTTGCTAACCCAGCCAGCAGTGCTGTGGGAAAGTGAGCTGGTGATCTGTTCCCGTAGAGACCACAGGTTCGAGAACCCTACAAGGCAGTTACACTCTGCCCTCTGGGGTCCCCGTAAGGCAGAATGGACGTGATGGCATTGGGTTTGGGTGCCTGGTTTTATGGGGGAGGCGGCTCTGGGAAATGGTAGAACTCAGTGTCAACGGAAGACTTACCCGGCTATCAGTCCATCTAGCAGGTCAGAGGACACAGCCCCAGACGGACAGGCCTGAGGGTGGGGTCAGCGTGAGGGAACGTAGCTCCCCAGGGGTACAGGGCAGGGATGTGAGCTGACCCATCTCAAGGGTCCCTGGGAAGAAGGACCCCTGTCTCTATTTCCTCAAGTTGGGTTGGGGGACTTAAACAGAGACTTGTTCTCTCATGTGGAGGAGGCTCCAGCTTAGTGGAGGCGGTGGGGGCGCGGGTCATCGACTCTGACTTTCAGCTTCACGCCTCACCTCCTTGGCAGTCCCCACTTCGCGTCTGGGCCTGCTCAGCACTTTTCTCTCAAAAGTTAACCCTGGCATGGGCCTGGGTCTCACTGATGCGACAAAGAGTGTTGCTCCCATACAGGGAGACTTCACAGTCCCTCACACCCCCAGACAGAGCGAACAAGGCACCAGGGCAGAACGAGCCGCACCCCAGGTGTATTCCGGCTCCAGGGTGGGAAACCAGCTGTGCCCCCAGTCTTGTTCCTAGCTCCAGGAGGAGCCAGGCTCCAGGGTGGGAAACAAGCCAGGAGCCTAAGGCGTGTTCTGGGCTCCCAGGCGGCAGTTAAGGCGGAGCTTACTTACACCGAGTCTGACCATGCTCCTTGCCCACTAAAAGGAAGGCATCCACTCTCTTCAAAACACCAAAGCAGAGTCCGTATCCTCCACAGTGGTGGACACAGGGCCTAGGGTACAACCCGGAGCTGCACACGAAACAAGCCTCTGGCCGATAGAACGCACTGAAGGGAACAGGCAGCCATCAGCGGGAGACAGCCTCAACATTGAGCTTTAAAGCAGCTCTCTCATAACTGTGCTCAGTGAGGTCGGAGAAAAGAACCTCATGTTGAACGGGGTGGAAAGTAACTGAAATCTCAGCAGATACCTAGAAAATGCAAGAGCAAAAGGACCAAGTGGAAAGTCCTTAATCAGAAATAAAAGGTTTCCAGGACTGGCTGAGGAGTAGAGAAAAGATAGAAAACCAAATCAGTGGCCTATTCAGTGAGAAGAAAGAAGGGATAAGGGTTCGTACGTTGTTAAGTGCCGTCAACTTAGTTCCAGTTCATGACAGCCCTGCGCACCACACAACAAAGCTGCACTGTCCTCACAATCGCTGCTGCCTTTGAACCCGTTGTCGCTGCCCTGTGTCAGGCCATCTCATTGAGGGTCTTTCTCATTGTCTCTGATCTCCCAGTTTACCAAGCATGACACCCTCCTTCAGGAACTGGTCTCTCCTGATACCATGCAAATGAGGGTCCCGAAAGCTTTCTCTGCACTCACCTCTTCTGGCGCCGCCGTGTCTGACAGTATTTCACTACTAGCCATGGGGTTTTCAGTGGTGGTCCTCCCGCCTTCTTCCTGCTCTATCTGAATCTGGAAGCTCCTCAGAAACCTGTCCACC